AATGAATTATAATTAATTTAATTATTGAAAACCTATATTTTATCGTAACGTTTACGTGATAAAATATATAAATTGAAGCAGATTATTATTTTATGAAGGCAAAACTTTGTTGTTTTATACTAAACATCCTGTCACCCTGCTTTAATTAACGGATGAACTTTATATCGTTGGTAATTACTCTGGATCTGGTTCATGTACAGTACTGTGAAAGTAATGTACAAGTATAAATGGGTAAGAACATTTATTGCTTGTAAATTCTTATAACTAAGGCTTCTAAGTAAAGCTTTTCATAAAATATACTTATTTAATCTAGCCGATATGTTAACTGGTTATTTTTAAAATATTTTGTTAAAATAACCAATAGGAAAAGACCTTAAAATTTACACGCGTATAGGCCCTATATATATATTTTTAAAGCATTTTATAAGCGATATCTTTTTAAAATAATTATTCATTTTTATAGAGTTAATATAAAATATATACAGTTTATTTTACATACATTTTAAGGTAAACGTATGTAATAAACTTTATGCATTTTATTGATTTTTTTTAACATGGATAAGTCGATGTTAATCTTTGATTTTAAACATGTTAATTAATAATATTGATTAATAACTTCATAAAATTTGCATAACCTATAAACCAGTATAAATATGAAACAATTTAAATGATTATATTTTATAAACCATAAAAGTCTTAAATATAAGTTAAAAACTGAAAATTAAATAATTTTAAGAACACGAATAAATATTTAGGCCTGTATTATTTTATAAAAAGCTTTTAGCTTAAAAAGAAACATTTTAAAATTCTTAACTTTGTTTAAAATTGAATATAAAACCCATGTTTATGTAATAAATTCTTTAAAAATTAATTAATTAATAATAAATTAAATAAAGTAATAAATAGAGTTTTTTAAGTAATTGGTAAACGTTATTTTCAAGTTTAAAATAACGTATTATAACTACTAGTAGACTAATTTAAACTGCAAAATATCAATAATTCTACTAATTACTTAAAAATAGATATATCTTTTGAATTATTAACAAAAAAATTAATTTCTACACTTAACAAATTTTCATTATAATATACATAATATAATAAACATAAATTATTATGAATTTCTTCTAAAATTTAATTAACATTATTTTTTTTTTTAAGTTATAAGAGAAATTACTTAATTTTTTAATTTTCTGAAATAAAAATTATAATTATTTCCTTATTACAATGTACACATTAAAATTTAAATTAAAATAATCTAAATTAATTATTTATTGAAATAAATATTTATTAAGTTAAATTATTTAATAAAATTTTCTAATAACTTTATTTTATTTCTAAATAAAATAAACAAAAAGAGAAAAATTTAAATTTATTTATTTATGTGTTTATAAAATTATTGTGAAGACCACCATTCCCCCACCAAAATTTGTTGTTACTATATAGGCCTATATATGTGTGTATGTATTTGTGAATTTGTTATTTACGTATTTACATTATCTGTAATAATCTTAGTTTAGCCACTTTGTTGTCACTTTAATTAATTAGTTAGAGATTTTATTGTATTNATATTTCTTTAAATATTAAAAATTAACAAAAGTTATATTAATTTTTAAATTTTACTCATTCTTTTCAACTTTGTTAACATTTCTCTTCATTTTTACTATCAAGAAAGATTGAAAAAGTCGTCATCATTAAATGCACTACAGAAGAAATTGTAAGTTAAATCTGAGTACAAATATCAAGAACAAGTATCATACATTTTACGACTTCAATATAAAGAGTATTAAACATTTCGATTTTACGATGCAATCATAAATTATATTATTTATTGTTGTAGAAGGATGAAGAAGAACTTGCCAGTTTCAATAAGAGGAAATGCATTGATTTGCTAATGCGATTTATCAGAACGAATCATTCAAAAATATAATCCGTCACTCGAAAATTTCAAGTATGAGTAATGGAATGCAACAACAATGAAGACGAATAGCATTTTATATTAATAATTAGAATAAAAGATAAATTCAAACTTTACCTGAAATTTTGTTATTACAAAATTTCAGGCGAAATATCAAAAGATGAATGAAGTTACAAATTACAAATGAAATTTGTAAATTTGTAATTTTGTAATAAAATTACAAAAGATAAATGCGACAACATGCGCTATCACTTGAAATATTTCTATCAAGCAGTAGTCCATTCAATATATGAATTGAATTCCATTTCCATAGAGAAAGCTTAGTTGTAGACTATAATAAATAATTCATACTCTTGTGCTTTAGTAGCCTATTTATTGGAAAGGATTTTCTGTATTCTGTTGTTGACTTTCACTCTGAGGTAATTTAAAGTGTACTAAAACTTAAAAAAATACAGAAATTAGTAACAAATTAAGTTATTTGTGACTAATTTAAATATAGTGTTCTATTTTATTATTTATTTAAAAAAATTAACGCACTCTAGTGAAAGTTGATCGCACTAAAACGTATTTTAGAGAGAATAGTTACTATTTATATACAGGACCAAAAGCCAAAAACTCATCTGGAATTAAAAGAACGAAAATGTCTGGTGAGCTATAATTCCCTTTATATTACATTTCCAATTATTTTAAATTATACTTCCACTTACTTATTATATATATATTTTTATATATATAATTACTATCCCCTCTAAATCACTCACGCTTGTTATATAGTTCCCAGTAGAAGATCATCATTATTGATCTGTTAATCTAGGTGACATTGATAAAAATAAAAAAATAAATAAAATAAAATAAATTGGAGAATATTCAAATAAATGCCTATAACTCTAACTAAATTATACATAAACTAAATGAGTGAGTGAATTAAATATAATCAATAGTAACACGTGATTTTAATTTATTAATGTAATGACCCATATTATGAGATTCCAAGTTTACTAAAATCTCTATGTAAAAAATACTAAAAATAAATTAAAAGATAATTTTTAAAAGTATTTATTATATTATATTATAACCTANGCTAGAAGAATTTTTTTTTTTTTTTAATTTTTAAAGCCTGATAAGGGCGTGTCCTATTTAAAAATCCTTTAGTACTCGAGGTGATTCATCATTTTTCAAGTTAGTAGTAAGCGCTTAATATTTGTAATTTGTCCCAAGATAAATACTTAAAAATATCTGTCCTTTTTTCCAAATGACACAATTGCTAACTTATTATTCAGCTAATGTTCCTATCACACTTCGTTAAGCACCATAGTCTATTAGATACGTTACAATTAATAATGGCTACTTTTTACCATTCGACCTTGATTCTATGAAGGCCTTCTAATTACTAAAAGTCCTAAATTTGTATCACTTACTTTACTATAGGTCAATATCGCAAAATAAAATAAATTCTTTTAGATTTTTATATATGTGCACAATACTTTTAATGTTAAAGTTTTTAAAAAATTATTCTTAAAAATTGTGTTTAATAGTTTCCAAATGAGTAAAATTCATAAAAATAAAAATTTAGATAGTTATAATTGGAATAAAGATGAATATTTTCATCTTTACACGGATCCAAAAATATATAAAATGATGAAAATTACCATCATCATTTTCATATAAAATTACGATCTTTGAATATTAATGAATGATCTTTTTTTAGATGAAAATCTTCATCTAAAAAAAGATAATGAAAATTCAAGGATCTAAATTAAAGAAGAAGATTTAAAAAAATAACAAAGATAATCAATAAAAAAGTTTTCAAAGAACGATTTTCACTAAATTTAGTAAAATTCATATGAATTTTTACCGGTAAAAATTTAATTTAATGATAGAATTCTTTATCTGCTCATTCTATACTTTCGTTCTTATGTGAAAGTAATGATGAACAATCAGAATCCTCAATTGCTGAGCAAAGATGAAACTTGCTAAAGGTTTAAATAACGCTGCTGATCATCATTACGATTTGTATTTTCACAAGTTTAATTAATATAAAAATAAATCCTTTATAGAATCGATCATAAAACCTTCGAAAAATATCGATTCTTCGTATTTAAAAAAAATCCATTTTAATATGCATTTTATTCATTGAAAATCGAAAGCAATGTTCTCAACATAAAAATACAAAATAAAAAAATAAGGGAGAGATTCACTTAATCCGTTACCAATTTCGATGTCATTAAGAACTTTTTTTTAAAGAGGATTAATTATTTTATTAAAATATGTGCTTAAATCCATTTTGTTTTGACAGGAATGATCGATAACTTTCACCATTTTTGAATGACAAATTAGAATTGGTTTTTCTGAGAAAGAAAATAGTTAAAAATAAAAGTATAAATTTGATGAAATTACTATTCTTTAATTCATATGCTAAAAAATAAATAACATATATTTCAAAATTTTATAAATATATTTATTTATGTCAGTATTGAAAATACATTGTTAAAAATTTGTTTTCAAGTGTACGCATTTGTAAATCATTAAATAGAAAGAATTATTAAATAGGAGAAAGTAAACATTTTAAAAAGTTTTATACAAAATTTCGATTTTTATAGTAAACAAAAAATATACACGGGTCATTATTATCGTCAATGGTAACGCAATAACAATTGCTAGAATATAAAAGAACCTTGACTTGTATGCGATCTATTGTATAAAATATATAAGGCATTTTAAGTTTAATATTTTAAAAACTAACCCATTTTGAATTAAAATAACAGAACACAATACAAAGACATAATGGAAAAGAAGAAAAAAAATGTAGAAGTATTTTCAGACAAGATTCAATTATATGCTCCTACAAATACACTACCGAAGCAGTTTTAAGTATTAAAATAAATCTCTACATCCTCAATTAAAGTCTATCTATCACTTAAATTAAATTAAAATCAAAAATTTCTCTATAAATAATATATTTTTTAAATTTAGTAAATTTTTTTTAAGTTTTAGAAATGAGAAGAATGTAATTGAATTAATTTCTATTTTTTTTTTTTTTACAATGTTTCCTTCTCATATCAATACTTAAGAGCTAAAAATTGATTTTAAAACGGTTAACGACATAAATAATATTTAAATTTGGCTTAAAATTAAGTATGAAAATCGATATATTAAGCTGTAAACGTACTAAAGTACTTAACACTCAAGTGGCCATAAAGATATATAATTTGTAATTTAACATCTGTAAATCGCGTCAGTACATAATTCGGTCAGTAGATGTCACTGAATAATAAATATATTAAAAACAATATCGAAAATAATTCACATTTTTAAATAACGTGACTGAACAATTACCTTTCGCTACCGAGTGACGTCACGAAAATTACTCCCCATAGTACTCTTCCGAAACACATGAAATCCTTTCTTCTTACTGCACGTGACGAGTGACGTCACGCTGTGCAGTGAAAGACGTTGGGAAGAGGCGGACAGAATCATTGATCGCTGCACTTGCCTTGATCTCACCGACTGCAAACTGACAAGAGGAACAACTGTCTTCAGGTAACAATTCGCATGATTCCCTTCATTTAATTCGAATTTTAATTACGAGTTCGTTATTTTTCCTTTAATTACTTACTTTACAATTCGAGTTGTATATATTTTTATGACATGATAAGAGTAATTTTGCACATAGATGCAAGTTGCTTCTTCTTTCTTCAATAATATATCTCCATTCATCAATTGGCGTAACGCAGAGTCATTAACATAAACTAATTTTTTAAAATAATAATTCACGATTTAATAGTGATTCACTATTTAAATACTACAAACGAGAACAGTGGTAGTGAATCATTATCCTTGAATTCCATTGTCTGTCGATAGACTGTAAAATTTTTACGTTTTTTTTTTCTTTTTTGCTTGTTCTCAGTAACCAGGAAACGTAACTATACTACTGTAACAATAAGTTCTCTTTGTATAATGGTAAATCGGGTGTTTAAATATACGACAAATCATGTTACTGATAACAAGGAAAAGGATAATATAACTTAATTCTTCAACATCATGGTTATAATAATATAAATTTTGCTTCATTTAATACTAACAAAATAGAAAGTAAGTGCGATATCTCATAGCACAAAAGTGATATGTGTCGAGTGATAACTAAAAATGATACTATGCTATATAACTAGCCTATATTGAGCGAAAAAATGTAGTAGAACTTTATATAGAAGTCATGTATTGAATGATAAAGTGATGCATATAGTAAATATGCGACACGCGTTGAGTGATAAAATAAAACTATGATATATAAAAACATAACTTATTTTGAGTTATAAATATCATAAAACATATGCTTGCATTAGTCATAGCATGTATACCTTCTCATAGAACACTGAAATTTAATATAACTGTGAGTGATGAAAAAATAATAATGTATAACAAGCGTGTATAGACTGTGTAAACAATGTATTGAGTGACAAATATAGCGAAAATATGGTATATATGTGGCATGTTATGAGTTATAAAATAAAATTATGTAACATGTAGAAAATATATAAAAATATAGTATAAACGCATCACGTAATAGCAAATATAGGGAAAGTATAGCATGTATGCAGAAGATATTGGATGCTAAATAAATTAAAATCATACCTCTACACTATTTTAAACGTATAAACATTCTTTACAAGCCAAAAAATGTAGAAAATAGATTAATTCCTTAGCTCTAACAATAGGAACAGCTATTGAAATCAATAACATCCTGTTAACAATTATATTTACTTTTGAGAGAAGGGGGAATCTACATCAATAATTATCCATTAAACTTATAAAACAATTCTACGATAGTCAAAACAATAAAATTCAACCAAATTAAACGTATAATTTACAAAAAAAACTTACAAAACTTTACATTAATTGCAAAAAAAAACCTTTTATAAATGATAGCAGAACAATATTATTTCAACATAACGCAAATTACAGACGTTTAAAAAAATTATTAAGAACTGGTATTAAAGACCTTGAATTTATCTAATTGAGTAATATCTTTTTTGTTATTTTTAAATTGGTTATATATATTTTACTTTATTGTTTGTAAATTTATTTTATTTAAAAAAAGTAAATTATTTAATTACGATAAATACTTTACTAGACAACCTCTTGACGTTTCTTATTATCAATAATCACATCCTATTCAAAATTACTTTATTAGATAAGTACTAATTTTATTCTTGAGGAAATTTTACGAAGGTTTTTCCTATTATGCTATTATAAATTCTTAAATTTTTATACATCATTCTTCTATTAAATATATTAAAATATATTTTAATGTATTTAATAGAGAAAAAATATATTGTTTTACTACTAAGTTCATTAGAATGCTTACAAATATTAAAATTCGCTGATATAATTAAGAAAATTTTGTATATTATAAATATAATGTTTAGTTTATTTTAAGTCGAAAGCAAATTTTCTTCTTAAAAAATCTATAAGTCTATTTTTACCTCAAAACATTTTAGTTGAGAAGTGAAGCGGCTATTGAAGGTGAACCTCTAGTAGATTGTTATTGATTAAAAAATAAATGATTTCTAGCAATTCACAGAAATGCATCACATCTCGAAGACAGAACATTTAGACCCCATTTTCTATAATAGTTTTCAATCTTGATATCTAACATTAATGTTAATTCTTTACGTATAGAACTTAATGAAAATTTGATTGTCTTACTATCGATCACTGACGATTCAAACTAAGTTTTAAACCTATGTTTATATCAATTAAATTTAAATTAAGTTTCTATTGTAAAAAAGGATTTTAAATTATTAATTACAATTTATTTTTTATCCTATTTAATGTAAATTTTTTATGTACTTATTTAATTAAAAATTAAAAATTGAATTATACAAAAAATAATTAAATAAAAAGTAAACAAGCAATGTTATTCTTAAAGGTTATTTAATAATATTATTATTCATTTCTTGATTAAAAATATGTTATTAAAATAAATAAATAAAAATAAGTTATTTATTTAAATTAACATTCTTTATCATTTTATTTTAAGTTTATTTTTTCCTTACTNTCGTGAAATGCTTGAAAGCACCATTTAAACCATTTCAGAAACAAGATCTTTTTGTGAAAAATGTCTATGGAAAACTAGGCAATCTTTACGTGTAAATACGTGATAAAAACGCGGCAAATTCACGTCATCTGCCAATTGGCTAAGCGCGAACTCGCTACCAATTACTTAATTTGATTATGAAAGTGAGATTTCGTGAGTGGATTACATATGTAATAGATATAACATTTAATTACATATAGTTCAGAAAGTATTTTGTTTAATTCTTTGTAATTTAAATGAACAAAACGAAAATAAATATATATAATTTTTTACTTTTAGACTTAATTACCATTTCCTTCTTTATTATTTTTTTCTTATATAAAAGGAAATCCCTCCAAACTTGGCTTATTTCTAATTTCGGACATCCTTTTCAGATTAGCTAAACAAATTAATTAAATTGAGTATAAATAATATAGGCCTATTTTTAATCCTTCATGTTAGAAAATATCAATTTTTAATTATTTAATTAATTAATATATAGGTTATGTAAAAATATCTAGGGTGGCTCAAAAGTCAGTTAACCATTGTAAAGATTAAAATGCTACTTTACTCGAATATTTTATTACATATAAAAATTGCTAGATAAAAGCGCGGTTAACTGATTTTTGGACTGCCCTTTATTTTAATTAAAAATTCAATAAATTTTAAAATTTATTTTATTATAATAAACGATCATTTCACATATAAAATTAATGCTATTTTAAATATATATATTTTTTTCTTAAAAAAATCGTTTATATGTTATATATATATACACTATTATTAGATATTAAAAACATAAAATACATCAAAATTAATATTAGAGTATATTTGAAACACACTTTTCCATTATTATAAGAAAAAAATACAACTTAAATTATCACGAAAATGCTAATTTTTATATTTATAAAATGATTCAAATTAAATTAAATTTCTTAAAATACGTGAAAAATTATATACTTTTTATTTTATATGTTTTATTATTTATAAACAGTGCCCATTTTAAATATTCATTAATATAAATTGTATTGCAAGGTTTAACTTTCTTTTCTCGGTTATTCATAGCGTGAATGTAAATAACACACTAGAGAAAATTCGATATGGAAAAGTTGTTACTGTTTATCGAACGTTCTAAATTATACTTTTGTTGATTTTGAGAATGTATTTTAATATATAAAAATTAATAGTATAAAATTCTTTAAATTATGAAAATATATGCAATTAATTACTAAAGTCATTTCTAAATACCTTTGGCTGCAGAGACATATTATATTTACTATACACTAACGTTCTCAGCCTAATATATAGACCATCATTATGTAACGTATTGTCTGCAACATTATTTACAAACTGTTCCGAAATAGAATACAATAAAGATAAGAATGTTAGAACATCAACTTTTAAATATTATGTAACATCTATTTCGAATAATTCCAACAAAAAATTAACATGAAAAATTGATATTTATTGTATTCTATTTTGAAACAGTTTGTAAATGATGTTCCAAAAATATATCACCTGAGGATGGCCTAACATCAGGATGAAACATTAGTGTATAGTAAATAAATGTCTCTCAATAGCCAAAGGTGTTTAGAGATGATTTTAGCAATTATTCTTTCTGCTGAGTGTGGTTTCGACTATATCTAAGATTTTAGATCTAACTTGTAAGTAGAGGAAGGAACTAATAGATGCATTTAGCTGGGCTACGTTAATTCTCTTCTATGTAGGCTCCTCTTTCCACTCTATACGTGGTAGAGAAGCCAAAATTTAATTTTGTGTGTAAAAAACGTTATATAAAAGCTATATAATATAATATAAAATAAACTAAATTTTAGGGCTCCTCTACTATAGCTAGAAAGGAATAGAGAAGTCCAAAATTTGCTTGTTTTATGTGTCAAAAAAAGGAAATAAAAGTGGTATAAAATTAAAGATTCTTTTCATAAGTAGTGAAAATGCGTTATTATTTTTTTATTGATTTTATTCATATATTTTTGTGGTTTTTAAGATGAATGGAAGTAAAGTTAAATAAATACAGAGCCCTCGAGAGATGAAATGAGACTGTGTATATAATCACCTCGCCTCTACAAGACCATATATATATTGAACTATTCGAACGTTTCTTCATCACCATTTCGTGTTATTTAGTTCATAAATTAAAAGAAAAAAGTTCGAAAATTATCTCTCTTAAATTAGCAAATTGTTAGCAAAGTATTTAACGTAATTAAAATTTAAATGAATTAAGATAATTCCAAGAATATTTTCTTATCGTCTTTAATAGTAATGTGTCATTGTAATGATACTAAATGATGTTTCCAACTTTTCCACAGACTAATTTGAACAACTTTCCTTTTATAAGTCAAATCAATTTTAAACTTCTGTAATGAATTTGGAGAAGGATAATGAGATGGTACTTGGCACGTCAAAAATATTTACTATCAAATTCGGATGTATTTACATAGTTCACTCTATCATTTTAGATCTTAATGTGATATGTTTTCAATTTTTAAAATTAAAATTGTCCAAATCTCTTCTAACATTTCTGAAATATATTAATCAAATGCCATCGAAGGATTGCCATCATCAAGATCCATTTCAAATATTTCTAATGATTAATACTTCTAATTTGAAATGGTCCTTAATCTTTTGAATCTGAAACTAATTCTATAATGGAAAATTTTCTAAAACATCGAAAACCTTGGATCCTTGAAATTATAGGATCCAGAATCCTAAGATTTCAAGGATTCAAGAATGGATTGTAGGATCCATTTCACTAATTCAGAAATTTATAACAGAATCTACAGTTTTAATATTTTTAGCCAGTACTTACATCATGTTAGTGCTACATCATTAGAGCTGTATTCGAATTTAATTTTAAATAAGATTTAACTATGTTTAAATTATTAATACATTATACCGGTATTTTAAAATTAATTCAACCCAGCGATTCGGAAATATACAATTTCGAGGATATTCCAAATTTCCTTAAAGATTAAGATCAAGTAACATATCAGATCTCTGAAGTAATACTTTACGATACTAATCCAAAGAAAACTCTAAAGATTAGGATCATTAAGCATCATGTCAAGGATTTGAAATAATCCTTGATGATCATCAATTTCAAATATATCTGAAAATTGCTGTATCGAGTTCAGATCAGTTGAACGAGCATAGTAACTTATAAAATCATTTGATAGCTTTAAAGATTGATGTGAATTTGATTGTAAAAGTTTTCTCAATTTCCTAAAGTAAACTGTTAGGGTCGTACTTTCTGTGGAATATGTACTCCGAATACATAAATTTTTGAATATGTTCCAAGTATTAGGCCACTTTAACCCAATTAATCAATCAAATATCGCTATTTTTCAGGTTATTGTTGAAGTAATATTTTGTTATACTTTATTCCTGTTAAATTATATCGAAATAATGATGATGGCCCTTATTTTTATATAAATCAATCTGTCTATTTTTTTTCTAATAAAACCTGTTTTGTTGACGATAACAGACACACAGACGGTTAAGCAGGAATTACCTTTGGATGCCATTCAAGTCTCCGTTTACTGAGAATGGATGCCTTAGCTAAATAAAAGCAATAGAGAAGAGACAAAAAAAATGAACCAAGTGATCTTTTATCCTTGGCAATTATGTACAACATTTTTGTTTTATTTTTTAATCTTCTAAAAATCAATTTCGAGTACAAATAAAATAAAATGTTACAAAAAAATTTTAATAGTTTTGTGTCGCCATCTGTAATTTAAAATTATAACTAATTTTCTTAAAAAAGTTATATTTATTGATAAATAATTATTATAATTAAGAAATTAATAAATACATTTTCTTATTTTTAATTATTTAAAGTGTAATTTTATAACTTAACTTTAATTATAAATAATTATTAAATTTTTCTTAACAGGTATTTGGATATGTTACAAAATCAGAAGAAATATGAATTTTTTTAAAAGATTTAATGGGAAACGATTAATAATGAAATTATTTTACGTTGTTATATTTATTGCCTTTCTTTTATGCATTAATTACCTCGTATACGAAACTGGTTACTATTACACTTTTACGTCACCTCGAGAAGGTAGAGTGATTTTCTTTTATTAAAAATGATTTATTTTGGAATAAACTTTAAGTTTTCTTTCACATTTTCAGAAGCATTCTTCATTAAAAATCTTTCAACAACAAGTCTTCCTATTAATAATTATGATATGCTTCATGTTTTGGTGTTAACTTATCCACGAAGTGGTTCTTCATTTGTTGGGAAACTCCTACAGAGTCCAAGTCAAGCATTCTATCACTTTGAACCTCTACATTATCTCTTCGATCGTAAGAGGAGTAGAACGAGAAGCAGCGGAAGAAGCAGAGCTTATCCTTCTAAATACCCAACTCCGCACGAATTTACCCACGATATATTTATGTGTAAATATAGAAATTCCTTTTTAAACTGGGCAAAGAATCATAACAGTTTGAAAATCTTACAGAGAAACGAACGTTATTGGAAGTCTTGTAGTGATGTTAACGGTACTAATTTATGTTATAATGCTGAATATTTTCATAATAAATGCCGTAATTTTACTATGCAAGTAGCTAAAACTATTCGTATGAGCGTAAGTGAAGCTCATACTATGTTAGACACTTATAAAGATCTCAATTTGAAAATTATTCATTTACTAAGGGATCCAAGAGGAATTATGAATTCGCGCTCCAAGCCTTCGATAGCATCTTGGTGTAAAACTGATATAACTTGCTACTCGTCTAGGGTGTTCTGTGCTAAACTGGACAGTGATTTAATGGAAGCTGAACGAATACTACAGAAATATCCCAACAGATATTTACCATTAAGATACGAGGAACTTTGTTGCAATATGTATCGAGAAACTGAAAAAATTTTTAAATTTTTAGGTTTTGGCCAAGTTCCTAAAGAGACTACGCAATTTTTACATTCACATAATTTGGCCATCATGCAAAATAATACATCTTTAGTCGAAGAAAAGTATTTAGAATCGTCGTATACTACGGTTCGCGACTCCTTTAAAACAGCATTCGCATGGAGGAACGAACTTAAATTTCGAAATGTCAAATTTATTCAGAGGCACTGCGAGAAAGTTATGCAGAAAACTAATTATGCAATTGTTACAACGGAGGGTGAAATGAAAGATTTGAATTTTCAAACAATCCTCAATACCACAGCCTGTGATCGATCCTGATCAAGGATTAAAAAAAACGAATTTATAATAATATATTCTATGAGTATTAATTATTATAATACCCAATGATGGGTGCTAAAAAAGATTTATCATCTGTGATTTTTCTTCATTTCATTCCATTTTATTTTTATTGTTGAATGGGATAATATATTTTAAACCATGGCCCGGACATCCAGTTTAATAGTTGAACATTCTAACGAACAAACGATGATTATATATATATACATATAGACTTATATAGATCTTTACTGCCGAATTTAATTTTTTGTAGATATAAAAAAAAAAACTATATATAAAATTTTTCACCTCATCACCGTAGAGTATTTAAGAAAAAAAATCTGTAGTTAATTTTAATGAAATGAAAGGAATGTTCATGTCTTATTTAATGCCAAAAATAGTCCCGAATAATCGAGAAAAATTCAAGAAAATCCTTAAGACAAATGTATAAATGAAAATAATAATTATAGATGTTGAATTTATTTACAGTTAATCACGTTATTATATATATAATATAAATTCAATTGCACTATTGATAAAAATTTAGGGATTATTCTCCTATAATGTAATTTTTACAGTATTATAATATATGGAGATGATCCGGATATAGAAACCAAATAAAAACTTTTTAATATAAAATTACACTTTATATTGTAATTTATTGCACTGTATTGNTTCTCGACGTTTATGATCACGATTCCAAAAACATCAAAAATACAGAAGCAACATTCTGTATGTGTATGTGTGCGTGTCTGTATGTTGGTCTGTAGTTTTGAGACTTAGTCACTTTTGACCTAAATATTTTCTTACTTTTAATAATTAATTATGTTTATTTAATGTTATAAATGAGTCAGAATGAAATCATTATTTACTTAGTCACTGTAAACAATTTAAATAATTTTAATATGTTTATTTGGTTAGATAATGTTGATTTAATAACAGAGCTTCTAGTAGTTTATCATAAAAGTATTTATTTAGTACACAAAGTAATCAATAGAAGGATTGGAAAACACGTTATATACGATCAATAAAAACCTAATTTAAAGGTAAAAATATTGACCGATCTTAATTATACATGTTTAAATTACAAAATTCGCTATTAATTATTAAATTATCTATTAAAATGTCATTTTTATACACATTTATCAACGTTGTACTTCTTCTATCAATGATAGCTTCTATTCAATAACTAGACCAGATTTAAACTTGCTACGGATCTAAACTATAACATACGAGACCTTCCTCACAAAATAATAATAAACTTAATATTGTGAGGCCCTAAATTGTAGTCTCGTAACATGAGCAAGGCCTGGTGAAGCCATCTTGACCCCTGGGATTAGGACTTCCTGGTTCATTTATGCTTTCTTCTGACACGACGCCCCCGGTTTATCGCGCTTTTAGTCTCTTTATATACTTAAAATTATATAAATTAATTTATAAATTTTACAATTAATATCATATTATACGGATTCCGGTCCGGTCACAGGACATTCCACGGTTCCCTCCCTTCTCATCAGTCCGGAGCATGAGACCTAAGCTATAGCTTGTTTACCTGTGTACTGTAAGCAATGTACTGTATATCTTACCTCCGTACATTTAATCAATAACACATAATAAACATTTAACAAAAGTGTATTGTATTAAATGATTATTACAAAAGCTAAATAAACAACTTTCCTATAGTACTTTTGAAAAATTTAGCACAAAAATCTTAAAAACATTTTCTAAACTACAATTTTCAGTTTTGAAAAAAATTCAGTTTTCAGAATTTTGAGTATAAGAAGAAGGAAAGAAAAATGTAAAAAAGGGATAAATTATTATTAAAATATACAAATTTATATATGAATGTAAAGATTTTTACACAGATTTAAAAAAATGTTATTTCAGAGATGAAATTTTAGATAACACCCTTTCTAGAATGAAACTTTTAATGTGATCCTGACCTCATTAAAAAGTAATTTATTGTATTTATGAAAATGATGGAAAGAACTAAGTGCTAGATCTACAAATTGCGTGTTGTGATTCAATTTTTTCCTCTTTTTACTTTCATAAATCGAAGCTCATCTCTATTCAAGTATTAATTCCTTTATGACCTCAATAATAATTTTGTTACATATGCGATTACATATAATTTTAAAGCTAAATTATCAATTTATCATATTTCTTACTATAACATAAAATTTAATGAACTTGTTAATGCATAATATGAATTTATTTATCGTAATTATGATTTTTATCTATCAATTTGACTTATTATTATATTTTGAATAAAATTATCTAAACATTATGTGGTGAGCCTTTCCCCATATGTTTTTATTCATAGAAAGTCATAGAAATCAATTATAGTGAAAAGGTTTAAAAAAATGTGATATCGATTCAAATTGGAGACTCTCATTTATGCACTGAAAGAGTTCACAAATTTAAAAAGATTAGGATTTGAAAGACTGAACTTATATATAATTCAATGGCTTTTCTATATAATTGAAATTCAATCTGTAGTTCGCGAACTTCTATTAAGATTTACAAGAATTTAACAAATGTGTAAATGAGATTTACAGGGCATCTATATGAGTGTAAGCTCTCGAACCATCTCCTAATTTAATTAATGAAGAATTATAAGGATATTGTATAAAATAATTTAAAATAGAAAATGTTTAATTACTTATTAAACAATCAAAACAAATTTAAAAATTGATTTGCTGTATTTTTATAATTTTTATATTAGTAACATATGTCCTATATATGCACAAAAACTAAAAACTGTACACTGTATATACAAAATATTCAAAATTTAATGTACGAGTAACTCAACTCTATATAAATTTACTTTTAATCTTATATAAAATTAGATAGACAAATTTTTTTTTAATCTATGATTAATACAGTAAATTATGATGTAGAGGAAAGACTTTACATTCAAATTACTACTTTCATCAATATTAATAGGTCAAAGTTAAAAAACAAAAAAGTATTCAATGTTTCATCATTAATTAAAGCATTTGCGATTAAATTAGGCCAATGCTATAATTAACATTTTACAGAAATGAAGGAATTTAGAATTTAATACTCATAACTTTCGGTGAGATTAATGTCTGAAAACTTTATAGATTTAATAAGAAGTCTAATTTTACTTAATTATATACTAAATCTAAAGAAAATAGAATAGCAATTTCTAAGTATTTCTCAATGAATTAATGAAAACTTGAATATAGAATATATTTTGATGCTAACATCACATTGAGCACATCATTTCGTATGTAAGAATAAAATAACATATAAATTCTCTCAATATTCATTTATATTTTGATATATATAACTTAAAATTCTTATGTAATGGGTGGTCCAGAAGTATGATAACTGTGTTCCTTACAAGAAAGTCAACAATTTGTAAAACTGTATCGAAGAGTTATAATTGTATATTGAACAAAAATGAACTCGTTTTGAAGTTTTTTGCAAAGTTTGTAAGGAAAAAAGTGTAGTAAATCCTAACTAATTCAGACAATGGAAGTGAAGGTAGTTCGCGATAGCGGGGTGTTTTCTTCGATGACGTGGAAAACGAGAAGGAAAATATTAGGGTATAGTAATTTATTACTATCAGCTCTATAAAGAAGTTTTACTGAACGTTAGAAGGTAGTACTGCTTGAAATGAGCTCAAAAAATTTCATGAAAGTACAGTATATATCAATGTATAGTAACTTACTGACTAGAGTAATATAGTGCACAGTATTAAAGAGACTTCTGCATAATGAAAACACTCGTTAATTATAATTTTTCTATTGTCAAGAAAATTTAAATTACTGTACAGTTTCTGAAGGAATTTGTCCAAATTTGGGAAATTCCTGTTAGTGGTTGTTTACTGCATTTGAATTTTGAGACAGCAATTTAGCCTTTTCAATTGTTAATTAATTTTTTAACCATCCTATATATATAAATCAAAATAAAATATTACATGAAATAATGGTTTTTTCTTTTTTTTGCATTTCTCGACGTTTATGATCACGATTCCAAAAACATCAAAAATACAGAAGCAACATTCTGTATGTGTATGTGTGCGTGTCTGTATGTTGGTCTGTAGTTTTCTTTATATCTCAAGGTCCCCATAAATCAAACCTTTTGAAATTTGGCAGAAATATTTCTGAATTCGGGTCATTGGTGGCATTATATTTTGGAGATTTTAAATCAAGGTGGAAATTCAGGGATAGGAGATAATATTTGTAATAGGATCAGACTTAACGAAAATTTTGNGAGGGCAGAAGATGAGTAACGACATTATGTGTCAGCGAGTTGACAGAAGTAATGGTCCTTCTAGGAAAGAGTGGGGTGTAACGTCTATCTCGAAACCCAGAGGTAACACTTTAATGATAGGCTACGGAGCCAGTCAAGGAAAACAATCGACTTAATGGTCTGACTGCCGCATCATCGATCGGCATTTTTTTCTTATTTTTTCCTTTTTAAAATGAGAATTTGGCTCCATCCCTTCGTCATCTATAATCTTAACTCTTCACTAAATGGTTCATGACTTAAAAGCAAATTCAGGCTCAAAAATTCACTTCGATGTGCTCCATTAAAATCAAGATAAAATTAAGGCCTTGTACAAGAGGCCTCATAATTTAAACAGGCTTACGAACTCATTATGATACGAAGGCTTAAGAATAAGGCATTAGAAATACTTTAATAGTCTTTAAAATTATTTAAATAGGCTCAGTTTATTTAGCAACGAAGGCCGAAAGCGTAGGCCTAACTAAGAAAACAACTACGAAGCAGTGGCCTAAATTTAGGACAGATTAAAATAATTAATAATATTGATAGGCTCATCAATAATCTTATTCTTTAAACATAAATTATGATGTATAATTAAATATATATAGGCCCTATATATATATTTTATTTTTCATTATTCTAATTAAATGAACAATAAAACTTGTTATTTTACAATAGATTTTTTGAAGTTTATTCCAGAATAAATTATAAAATATATTATATTGTATTGTCTTATATTGTAAAAAAATAAATTCAGATTTTAATCATATTTTTACTCTAATCTAAAATATTACAAATTCTATAAAGGACAAATATCTAAACTTATTATAAATTTGATTATTATAAAATTGTGTAATAATTAAAAAAATTTAAATTCATAAATTTAATAAATAACATTCTATTTTATATATTATGATCTATGATTAAAGGAACAGTCAAATTGTTTTTATTGTGTAAGAAAACGTTAAAATTTTAATAGTAGTAATTTAATGTGTTATTTAAACTTAACAATAATCAATTTTATCACTACAAAATTTTAATATAAATTTTATTTTAATCAC